TAAACGACACGAAAATAACAGGTTTCGAGTCAACACGATAACTAATCGGGTCGTTATCGGGTCGCACGATAAAAACCCATTAATAACGAGTCCTTAATAGGTTTACACGAGAGTGACACATGAGTAACCCGTTTCGAAACGTTAAAAAAAAGTTATTTTGACGATTTTGATTTTTTAAACTACTTAAAAAACTTACTATAAAATACAATAACCATAGTGTACATGTAAATATTGTATATTAAAATATGTATTATTGTATTATTATTCTATATAAATATAAAAAAAAAATAAAGTTTTATTTATTCTTATAGTATACCACAAGCAAGGAGTGAGATTAAAAAAAATTGCAAAACACATTAAAATAAAAATATCAAGTAATTTAAAAATAACAAACGCATAAAAAAATATAATAATTAATTTACAAGTGCGAAAAATGTGAAATAATATGCAAACGCTTGTGACCAATATCATTTTTCTTGATGATTGATGAAAATTGAAGGGTTTTATTGTCAAAAACGTGCAAGGTTTCATCAACCTTGAAACGCAACTCCTTTCATTTTGCATATCCTTAAACATTTGGTATTTTGTAGTAATGTACTAATGTTTTTTCACTAGACTCTTATGTTGGGGAATGTAATACTTAAAAGATAAATGTTATTTTTATGTTTTGAAGTAATATTTATTTGACATTGTGATATACATATACAAATTTAGTATTATGTTTTCAATTTTTGGGGTCAAATTATGTTTTTCATTTTCATTATTTGTTGATTTAAAATATATTTTCCTTAACGAGTAATGGGTTGGGTCATATTACCTGATAATATTATTGGATCGGGTCATATTATCTGTTTACTTTAAAGGGTATTACATGACACGATCCGTTAAGATATCGAGTATGTCACGAAAATGACACTAACATGAAAAACACGACACGAATGCCAGGTCTAACGTTTAGCACTTGGTTAAAGTGCTTTCTAACCACTTGTAGCCAAGTGGTGAGCTCGATACGTGTCGACTCGAAAAACCATGCAATTAACTCTGCGAAAATGTCACTTCCTCTCCACTTGTCAAGTGGATAATGGAGGAATAGCTTATAGGTCGTATCTACATATTTGGGCCATTAAATGATAGGGCAGTGTGATATTTAAAGGCCCATGACTTTTAAGCAGTGTTCGAAAAGACGACCATCTAGGCATTAGAGCATCTCCAAAGGAGATGTCAAATTTTAAACATAAAATTTGAATTTGACAGCCTATGTGGCATTTTAACATCTTTTAAAATTTTTCTCTCCACCCGGTATGTCAAATTAAATATTATCTTATTAAACTATTTTCTTTTCTTTTTATTTTATTAAATTATTATTTTATGGCCATTCTCTCTCTTTCTCTCTCTCTCTCTCTCACGCAATAACACAGTCACAGACATCCATCCACTCTTATCAAGTGAACAGCGAGATAGAACCTTTCTCTCTCTACCATGAAGATGATGAGGTTGCTCCTAATCTCAGTGACAGTCTTTGCCATTGTCTCAACTATGAGCCATTCTTGTTCCCCGTAAGACCTAGGAGCACTTCAATCCATCAGAACCAGACTCATCGATTCCTCATTGGGAATCTTCAACTCCTGGGTCGGAACCGATTGCTGCGTAAACTGGTACGGGGTCAGCTGCGATCCCACAATCGACAGAGTCGTCAACATTAATCTCCGAGGCGAATCGGAGGATCCCATACTCATGAAATCCAGTCAGTCCAGGTTCATGTCAGCATCGATCTCGCCCCAAATTTGCAGCCTCGACTGCCTCACCACCTCCGTTCTCGCCGACTGGAAGGGAGTCACCGGCGAGATCCCCCAATGCTTCACCACCTTCTCCAACCTTCAAGTTCTCGGTCTCGTCGAAAATAAGATTTCGGGCGAGATTCCGACCGATATTGGCAACCTCAAGATGCTCACAGTCCTCAACCTCGCCGATAACTAGATCTGATAAAAAAATTAATAAAAAAATATTTAACGTTGCTGTCAAATTTGACAACAAAGGGAAGAGCTGCCATTCCATGTTATGCTACATTAGCTTTCGCTTCTCGGTTGTAAGATATTGCAACTGTCTTTTTTTACTGTTAACGTTGATTTGGACATTTTGACATCTCCTTTTGAAATGTTCTTAGGCGTCAGTCGCCATCGTGATTAATCCCTATTCGGTTACGAAATTGGAAATCTTATTAGGCGGCCGCTTGGGCGGGGTAAGGTGGGGCAAGACGGGGTTAAGCGGGGCTATGTGAAGGACTTTGCCGGAGTCTAAAAATTCTTAGATGCAGAGCCGATGGGACTCGTGGAGAAGAAGATGATTTGGGTGTCGTGTTTATTTAATACGATCCACACGTCGTCGTTTCGGCCAAATTTTTTCTATGTCAAATATTCAATTGTTTATCTCTCTTAAAGACCCCACCATCTTTCTTATAACTTTTATTTTCTCTTTTAAGGGCCCACCCGTTTTCCACCAACTATTAACCTAAAACTCCCACCTTACCTATAATATACATAAATATGTTACAAAGTTTGTAGCAAAATATAATTTATTTATAATATAATATATTCTTTTGAAATAATATTGTTTATTTATATATTATGTAGTAAATTTAATTAATTAATACAATATTTAATAAATTTAACTAAATTCGTCTAGCCCGTCTTGGCGGTAGGCCTCAGCCTGCCGTCCGACTAGCGCCTAACATTTTTTAGAACCTTACTTTTGAGGTTCACTCAAGGCCTATATAAATAGGCCGAAGACTAAGCATTTGGATCTCGAAGAGTAAAATTTCACTACTTTGTTTACAAAGCTATTGTAATTCATATCAAATTATATATATCAAATCACTATAGTGGATGTAGCTCGTTTCTTAGGATGAACCACGAAATCATGTTGTCAAATTTTTAATTTTATATTCCTAAACCCACTAAGGGTTAACCTTACTAGTCTTTGTTGACCTCCTAGTTTTGAGTGTTAACAGTTGGCCTAGACAGCACCTAGCCGGTAGACGGTGCCTAGCCCCCGATAATAAGCTGTAATTGAGTGAGAACGGGAAAGGAAGTAGACAGGAGGGCGACCTAGGTGGGAGCTTGGACGGCCTAGGCGGGCGCTGGGTGGCTAGGCAGGGTTATGATCAACCTATTGGGTTTGCGTTTTTCTTCTTTTCAACTCTTAGACTCTCTCGACCACAAATCACTCTGTCTCTCTGCTGCAACAACACCTACTTCTATGACATTGATCACTAAGTGAGGAAATCAAAGGGTCTATATGAGCAAATAAAAGAGAATGAGGGAAAATACGAGATTGGAAGAAGAGATTCATCAATAAAAGGCGAAAACGGCACTTACAAGAGGAGAGGGGAAGGGAGTCCAAAGGTAGGAAAACTTCTCTACACATCCATTGTATTACGGCAACCCTCATGGTATTTTGTTTGGAGTGCAAGTAATAAAATCTAATGCCACGTTTGGTTGGCTGTATGGAATTGGGCCTTCAAGAGCTTTGGAGCTTTCTTCTAGCTATTTTTCTTTTTCGTTGAAAGTTGGGGCTTTCTCATACAATCATGGGATATCTTTTTGTTTTCTTTTTAGCTCCCAAATGTTAACAACACTCTAGCACATAAAAAACTTGGGTGTATTCTTATAAACATTTTACAAAATGATTTTTGAATAACTTTTTTATAAACCGAAAATGAAAAATAGTATTTTGTATTTTTATAATTTGAGAATGTGTATAGTAGTTTATAATTTTGTATTAAGGAAAATTGATCAAAATAAAAATTCAAGCAAAAATTGGCAAAGAAGTACAAGTTCAGAGAGAAACCGGTGAAATACTCCTTTTCTAATCATCAATGGGAATGAATAACTTGAACTTGAAGCAGCTTTCAACACTGCAATTCGGCCAAGAGAAGGTAAAGGGATAATGAGGGATAATGACAAGTTTACTCGTTTGCCAATTTATTAATTTCAATAATTTTTTGTTGAGATTTATTAGTTTTTTGTTGAAAGTTGTGAACACATCATAATAACTGATTAGTCAAATTTTGACGTAAGTGCAAACTCTATTGGTAATCTAACAAAATCTATCGTTTCAAAAAAAAAAAAAAAAAAAAGTCAATTTTTGGTACAACACAAGCAAATGCCTATGCCAAGTGGCAGCCAATTCTAAAGACCCTTTCAATTCTTGCGCCCATATTTTTAGTTTTTAACTTTTCTTTTTTTGAGAAAAATATGATAATGTATACAAAATTCGTCTAAATTAACCGTCATTGTGAATTAAAGAGAAATATTATGTCCACCACAATCCACCACTTATGATTTCTGGCGTCAATATCACTTGCATCAAGGATTCCAATAATAATAAGATTTTTCCTGTTAACGTTTTGGCGACGATTTTGTTCAAATTAAAGCAATAAACTTTTTTGGCCTTTGCCCTGCCTACCCCATTAACACTTTTTATCAATTTGTGTTGGTTTCGCCGCAGCAGAAGTCGCCATTTCTGCAGACTCAGCAGCACCCTTTTGGCTTTTTCTACCACCACCAAAAGTAATCCGTCAATATCCAAATTATGGATGAGCATCGCCGCGTCCACCAACCCACTTCCGATTCCTGTCTTCTCACTTACATGCACCTCAACACGTTCCCCCCCGACCTGCTATATCAAAATGCCACAACGAAAAAACAAACCCTGTCCTCTCCGTAAAGTCTCACACTTCCTCACCATTTTCTCCACATACATCCACGATTTCTGAAACCGTATATTTGTCCTCATTTCGCACCCATGTGAAGATCAAGTTTGGACAAATCGCCTCGGATACCCTGCCGTTTGAATTTCAAAAACTCGACACGTCAAGATTTCGCCATCGACACTAGTCACCTTGCATGTAATGTGTATGGACAAATGTACAAATTTACATGCACGCTCAGCCTTTAATCTTGTATAAATGCGCGAACCCTTTAAGCCATTCTTCCCACAGAAGCATAAAATTAAAGAAATTTAGCAACCATGGTGATCAATTTCAACGCTTGGCTTCCTTTCTTGTTGTTGGTGTCTTCTCTTTTCCTTGCTTTCTCCGTGTCTTCCACTCTTGGTCTAGATAAAGACCAGCAATGTCAACAAGAATGTATGGACTTCCAAGGCCTACCAAAGAGCTCCGCATGTTTGGCCCGATGCAAGAATATGGGGCCCTCGTCGGGTCCTCCGGTTGCTGGCGGGCTGGTGTGGTACAGCCAATCTCATGGTCAGGAATGCCGACAGGAGTGTGAGAAGCAGGGAACACGGGTCCCGCTGGAACATTGTCAAAGGCAGTGCATCCATCAACGTCAGTTCGAGCAGTGCCACAAACAATGGCAACAGATCATTCAGTCGTCGGAGATATGCCAGAAGATTTGCCGCCAGAAAATTGAGGGAGGACAAGGTGAGGAGTTAGAAAGTTATGTTTCTAACCATCATGAGCTGCAGCAGTGTCAGCAGCATTGTCAGTCGCAGCACGGCCAAAAGAAGCACCAGTGTATGCAAGAATGCCAAGATCAAATGAGGCAACAGGGACAGCAGCAATGTCAGCAGCGTTGCCAATCGCAGCGTGGCCAAAAGCAGCATCAGTGTCTGCAAGAGTGCCAAGATCAAATGAGGCAACAAGGACAACAAGTACAACAACAATATGAGCAACAGCAATGTCAGCAGCGTTGCCAGTCGCAGCGCGGCCAAAAGCAGCATGAGTGTATGCAAGAATGCCAAGATCAAACGAGGCAACAGGGACAGCAGCAGTGTCAGCAGCGTTGCCAATCGCAGCGTGGCCAAAAGCAGCATTCAGTGTCTGCAAGAGTGCCAAGATCAAATGAGGCAACAAGGACAACAAGGACAACAACAATATGAGAAACAACAATGTCAACAGAGTTGCCAGTCGCAGCGCGGCCAAAAGCAGCACGAGTGTATGCAAGAATGCCAAGATCAAATGAGGCAACAGGGACAACAGCAATGTCAACAGCGTTGCCAATCGCAGCGTGGCCAAAAGCAGCATCAGTGTCTTCAAGAGTGCCAAGATCAAATGAGGCAACAAGGACAGCAGCAGCAGGGAGGCAGCACAGGAAGAGTTCATCAGAACCCAAATGTACAAAGAGAAGAGGAGCAGATGATTGGGGGTCAGAGGAACAATCCCTTCTACTTCCCATCACAGATGTTTCAGTCACGGTTCCAGTCCAATGAAGGCAGTCTTCATGTGCTTGAGAGGTTCGGAAAGAGTGAGCTTCTTCGCGGCATTAAGAACTACCGCTTGGCCATCTTGGAGGCAATGCCTAACACTTTTGTTCTCCCACACCATTGTGATGCTGAAGCGATTTTTGTTGTTCTCAACGGTGAGTTAGTCCTCCATTCCCAATCATTTTTCTTATATGAAGTTATATTATCGTTAGCTCTAATATCTTCATATTTTCTTTACTCTGCGATTTCAGGACAATGTATCTGTACTCTTCTGATGAAAGATAGAAAGGAGTCCTTCAACATGGAACATGGAGATGTGATTAGAGTTCCTGCAGGGGCTACTACCTACTTAATTAACAATAACAATGATGAACCTCTTCAAATTGCAAAGCTCATCCGCTCTGTTAACAGTCCTGGCCGATTTGAGGTAACCAATCATCACTTCGTTTCATCAATATTTGTTTTGGTATTTTTTTATTTTTATATTTTTCAGCTATTAATTACCCACAAACCCATTTAAATTTCCACACAAAAACTTGAATTTTGTTCTAGGTAATATTTGGGGTTGGCAATTTAAAACAGTGCCCAACTTTTTGCAGGAATTCTTCCCTGCTGGTTCTGGAAATCCCGAGTCATACTTCAGCGTTTTCAGCAATGACATTCTTGAATCTGCCTTCAATGTAAGTTACAAATCTTAATTTTTGTCCTATACCCTTTATTTGATTTCATTTGTTCACCTAAATTAGTTAGGCTCTAATTAACAACTACTAACTATTTGATCAGACCCCAAGAGAGCAGCTAAAGCAGGGATTTAGACAACAAAGGGGCCAACAAGGGGGCCAAGGCATAGTCATGAGAGCCCCAAAGGAGCAACTTGAGGCATTGAGTCAACGTCCTTCTTCAGCCAGGCGTGAAGGACGCCGACAGTCTCAGGGTCCGTTCAATCTGAGACAACAAACACCTGTGCACTCCAACAACTATGGCCAGTTCTTTGAGGCTCGCCCTGAAGAATTCAATCAGTTCCAGGACATGGATGTCTCAGTCAGTTGCATAGAGATGAACCAAGTAATGCTAACGCAAACATATATCACAAAACAAATTAATTAAAGGGAAATCAGTTGAAATGATGAAAATACAAATCTTCAATTGCTGAAAATGATCAATTTTCGAGATTTCATTAATATGCCATCAATATTTGATCGACAACATATTTTTGGATCATTTCAGCAATTGGAATTTGAAAAATTCTCCTTTCAGCCTATTTTCTTTAATTAAATCCAATAGGCCAGGCATAAACCTGCCTTAATGTAATTTTATTGTATGCTAATTTTGATTAGTACCTGTGGCTAATGAAATTCTAATCAAATTTTTGCAGCAAACTATGATGGTGCCACACTTTAATTCGGAAGCTACATTCTTGATGTACGTTGTGGAAGGAAATGTACGTGTCGAAATGGCGTGCCCCCACTTGGCAAGCCAAATGCAAGGCCAAGAGATGATGGAACAACAAGAGCAGGGAGAGCACAGTGGAAGTTTCACGAAGGTCGCTGCTCAGCTGTCACCTGGTGATGCTTTCGTTGTCCCAGCTGGTCATCCTGTTGCCTTTGTTGCCCAGAACAACAATGGCAACCAAAACCAGAACATCCGAATCCTGGGATTCGGACTCAATGCCCAAAACAACATGAGGAACTTCCTTGCAGGTAGACTAATCAAGCCAGAAACAGTATTACTGCTAATTAATTACAATTTTTAACCAATCGGGTGTGTTTAATTGTACAATTTTTATTTTTTATAGAACGATATTATTTATATTGAAGGGTGTGGGGATTTCAACCTGAAACCTCCAACTTACTAGCTAGAACAATACTAGTAGCTTGTAGTTTTAATGAGATATCTTTGTATATATGTCAAGTATATATATCAAATTGTCCTCGACAAATAAGGAGAAATAACTCTGAAGTTAAGATTCCACCGTAAAAAGAATGAGGCGAGGTTAATTGTATAACTAATAGTTTTATATGTAATCTGGATTGTTGTAAATGCAGGGCAAAAGGATAACATAATGCAGCAGATGGATAGGGAGGCTAAGCAGCTAGCATTTGGGCAAGAGATGGAAAGAATCTTTGGCGAGCAGCAGGAATCTTACTTTGTGCCAACTAAGAAGGGAAGAGGGAGAAGCCATCCGTTGTCTTCAACTTTGGAGTTTGCTGGCGTAATCTAATTAACTTGTTTAGTTAAGATATCTAAGTAATATTAGTAGGGAAGAAATACGAATGCAGAGAGAGACTAATGTGTATAAGTACTACGTCGTATGGGACGTAATAAAAAAAGTACCAGTAGTAGCACTGGTCGGCTGTGCTGGAATACTTTTGAATTAGGGCTCATGTAGAGTGAGCTTTTTGTGTGTGGAAAGGCTTAAACAGTTCTAGCTTTGTGCCATTTAAAAAACTAAATAAATGAGTTCTTATTTCTTTGAGTTATGCAAATGAAATTGCTAAGTAGTTTAGGGTTGTGATCTTCACGCTTTGTTCTTCTCCGTTTTAGTCAGTTTTTATTTATTCTCTGTTTTTGCTCGTGTTTTTGTTTGTTGATTCTTTTTTATTTATCCTCTTAAAAAGAGAAGTGCAGGAAGAAAAGAGAACGCGCAAATTACTACATTAAACTGATTCATTACATGTTGACATGTGGTTTTTAAGCTTGTAGTGCAAATACTGCATCATCAAAATCATTTGTGGTTTTTAAGCTTGTAGTGCAAACACTGTTTTAAAAATTCCCGCCTAGCGCCACCTAGGTGCTAGGCAGCTGGTCATAGTCTCGATTAATGCTTAGGCGTTTGAAAATTAACAAAGGGCGCCTAGACCTCCTATGCATCTGCCTAAGTTGTGACTCACTTAAACAAAAAACAGATAACTTTTATTTTTGCATTTTATTTTTTCAATAAGTTGTAAAAGACTAGTTGAATAATTAAATGAACACACATTATGTGCTTATTCCTTATATTTTCATTATTCTAATACTTCATAATATATATATATATATATATGTCATTCTATTTTGTAGTTTATGATAAAATTATATATATTTTAAGTATAAACAGACACTTATTTACATGAAATATAATAGATTTACTTAAATCCGCCTAGTTCGCCTAGGCCCCGCCTAACCGCTAGGCTCCAACCCGCCGCCCGACTAGTGCCTAGCGTCTTTTAGAACCTTGAGTGCAAGTACTACATCATCAAAATCATTTGTGAGAAGTCAAGAGGTCATCTTCGAATGAGATGTCAAATTTCAAACAATTTAAGTTTGAAGACGTACGTTGTACTTTGATTTTTTTTTATTTTTTTTTTTATAATTTTGTTCCCCACTTGAAATGTCAATTTAAACTATTATTTATTGCATTACTTATTTTGTATAATTGTAATAAGCATTTTTAGAACAAAAAATGATAATAAAAATAGTAAAAAAAACACTTATTAATCGCTAAAAATAGATTTGAAATTGATGTCAAATTTGACAACAACCATCTTTAATGTCAATCCATATCATGCCACATAGGAATTGAGATTTCGATTGGAAAACACTAAAACTTTGTTTTTTTATTGTAATTGCTAATGTGGGCTTTTTGAAGCCTCATTTGGAAATTCTCTAGGCTTCCAATTCCATCATCATAAACTATTGATGATGTACTAATCACAGGGTAGTGGTATCTTCTATATACTCTATTTTTCCCTGGTCGCATAGTGATGTTAAGATTGTGTTTTAGAATGTAACGCTGGTTACTGATTCTGCTCCATTAATGGTAGCGTCTGCACCTCTGTGTATTCGGTCTTCCACTAGTCTTGATCATGTCAAGATCACTGAGAGAGGTGATCTAATTTTTACTACCTATGAAAATAGAGTTAAAAATAAAAGTACTAGCAAGAGAATAAGGTTATTGTAATATAAATGGCTCAATGAAGGTTCTTCACAAGAATTGATATGAATAACTTGTATTTAAAACCAATTCTCAATTAACTATTTAACATAGGATTTTAAAAAGATTTGAAATTGTGAATTTGAAAGTACAGACAGAAAGTAAAATAATTGAAAATAATTTTAGTAAAGCTTGGCAGCAAAAATAAAAGAAAATAGTTTGGAAAAATCAAATGTAAAGTTATTAGATTTTTACCGTCACCATTAACAATCCTATATAATCCTATTCATTATTTATGAGTTAACACATACAATTTTGAAGGTTAGGCTCATGATGTTCAAGTTAGAATGTATATCTAACATGCAATCAGTGTGTAATGTTCAAATCAAATATGAACATGAAAGACTCATTAAGCATTGTGAAAACCTTTTGAAAAGCCATGCAACCTTTAAGAGTGTGATGTTCGCCTTAAGTGAAATTACAATTATCAATCACAAGAAGTCCTACTCAATTTCATGGTGATGTTTCAACATTAATTGCATCAAATTACTTACCTAAACATCCTAGTGGTAGCTAAGCATTAAGACATGTAGACGGTTTAAACACAATGATTAATGATTCAAAGTATGCATGCATAATTTCATAAGTAAACTAATAAGAAACTACATATTCATGCTAAGGCTCGTAACCTTGCCCTAACAAACTAGAATTAGTTACATGTATTTATAATTGAAAAACAAAATATTATTAGAAGAAAGATAGAAAACACCCTTGTAAAATATGTTGAAATTGGTCCAAAATCCTGCAACCAAGTTTGACAATGCAATATCACGTCTAAAACTTAGCATAAGACCCAGCTAAGTATTTATAATGTGCATAAATTAAAGTCCTACCTAAATTAGGTCTTATAATAAAAACTAGGAAACAATATAAAATAAGACAACTAGAAAATACATTCCTATTCTAATACAAAGAATCTGATCAGCCAAGAAATCCCCACATTGTATGACCATATCAACATCAAATGAGGCCCAAAATGTGGCATTAAAAAACACTAAACATCCGAAATGGAAAAATTCTGTCGGAGCTAATTGCGAGAAGAATGTCAGAGCAATGTGGAAGCAAGCACTTGTTGGGAGCAAGTTGAAGGGGTAGTTTGCGAATTATAAACAACAAAGTGTTTGGTGTTATTTTGATCATCACAAACAACATTAGTGAGCAATGCCACAACGTTGCAGATCGGAACAGTGCCTACAACAATATGTCGAGCGAATTGAGAACGATATTGCCAGCAACGTTGCGAGAGACATGGACAATACATTTAACATCAACAACAATGCCAAAGGACGTCTCCAAAAACCTCTCATCTCAACTTGAGTAGTTCATTTGTGCAATTATAATAGTTGAATTTTGAAGTTCTTAATTTAAAAATAGGGAAACATCCCAAAATTAGACAATTTCTTAATTTTAGGACAGAAATAGGACAAACCGATCATGCACAAGTCATGCACACCATGCATACAATCGAAATTACTAAAATACCCACATATAAATACTAAAAATTAGAAGCCCATTACATCACTTTTCTCATTTGGAAGAGAGGGATGTCGAGAGAGCTCTGTGAGCTCTGGGTTTCTGGGCTGAGCTCAAATTTCCGAGCTTCGATTTTGAAGAGAGGGAAGTCCAAAGAAAGGTGAGAAGAGTGAGCTGGGTTTTGTACCATATTTTCTGTTTTGGCCAGAAAGTTCTATTTTTTTTGGCGACTGAAGCTTCAGCAAGCATAGTAAGGTAAGGTGTTTAGTTCCAAGTTCCTTCATCATTGATTTATGGAATAAATGAGTTGTTTGTAAGATGAATTAAAACTTAGAAGTTAAATTAGGGTTTGTGTTTCATGTTGGGGCCTATGGGTTGTAGAATAAATTTCAAGTTTTGATGTGCTACAAAACTAAGATGGAACAATTTCTGGTTTAAGTAATCAATTGTAGAAATTTGTGAAATTTTTTCCGTAATGTGCATATGGTGTGTATGGCTACATTTTAATATGAGAAGTAGGAATGTTCACTAGTTATGATGCACATATGTTGTGCCCCAGAAATTAGCGAGTATGATCACAAGCTAGTTGGCCTCGGTGAAAAACTAAATTAAGAAAAAGCTTAGAGGATGTTAAGGATCATGTGTGTCTATGAAATAACGAAAATGAGTAGCATGTTTTCCATGTGCACGGTTAAGCGGTGATTGATATACGTAACAAGACTTTTCAAACTGCCATTATAAAATTATATTTTAATTGTAGCCACAATACAAATAGGTTGCCGTTAAAGTTTCTTCTTAATGCGAAAAGCAGCTCGTTGCTCTATCTCCAGTTCTGTGCATATCATGTCCATGTACTATACATATGACATGCATGTGGTGTGCATATAATATATATGGACAAGTGATGGCATCTGTGAACACGAAAAATTCCTGACGACGAGGAACAAGAATACGTGGCACAAAATAATATTTTTGTGTTTAATGATTTTTGGGGTTACGATCTCTCTTAAATTTGGTCCTCTGATTCTATCTCCGTAAGATGTAGATTTGTTGATCCAAGGGCCGTCGAGGCTTGATCTTGGATGAACAGTTGTAAGTTTCTTCAAGGGCCTTCGGGGCTTGATCTTGAATGTTGATGGATGAGCGGATCTTCAAGGGCTTTTGGGCTTGATCTTGAAGAACGGTTGGTTTTCTTCAAGGGCCGTCGAGGCTTGATCTTGAATGAACAGTTGGTTTTCTTCAAGGGCTTTTGGGCTTGATCTTGAAAAATAGATGTGTGGATTTGTTTGTTGATCCAAGGGCCGTCGGGGCTTGATCTTGGATGAACAGTTGTTGAACGGATCTTCAAGGGGCGTTGGGCTTGATCTTGAAGAATGGGTGTATGGGTTTGTTGAGGTTGTTGATCCAAAGGGCCGTCGGGGCTTGATCTTAGGATGAACGGATGATGAATGATGAACACTTTCTTCAAGGGGCCGTCGGGGCTTGATCTTGAGTTGGTGGGAGTTCTTCAAGGGCCATTGGGGCTTGATCTTGAAGGAGGATTTGACGAAGAACGAAGAGTGCTTTCTTGATCCTTCGGAATTCTTGGGAATTTGGATGCTTGAGAGCTTTGGAGTTTCAAAGCTTCAAGGATTTGGGGAATTCTCTTCCAATTTGGGAGTAGAGAAATGTATTTGTGAATTGGTTTTCTTGGTTCTATTCCTCTTGATGGAGAAGCCTATTTATAGGTTTTGAGAATGAATCACCACCATTCATTTTTTTGGTGAAGTGAGTGGAGGTTGTAGGTGAAGTAAGTGTGTGAGGTTGGTGAAGTAAGTGGAGGTTGTAGGTGAAGTAAGTGGATATTGTGGGTGAAGTAAATGGATGTTGTAGGTGAAGTAA